GAGTTCAACCTGGGCTCAGAGCCTATCGTCAGCTGTGTGGCCACTGGCAACCCCCTGCCCACCAGTGACAGCGTGGAGCTGCGCAAGGCTGACGGCACCGTGCTCAAGGTACCACCCCCATGCCCTTGTCCCATGTTGCCAGCTCCCTCAAGAGCACTCATCTCCCTGCTGAGCTGCCGGGCAGCCCCAGGCCAGTGCAGGGAGCTCGGGTGCTGAGCTGCGGGGGTGACAGCACCCTCTGTGCCCACAGCTCATCAAAGCCATCATCGAGCCAGGGAAGATCACCTGCGAATTTCAGGTGCAGCACCTGACGAAGGCGGACACAGGGCTCTGGGAGTGCCGGGTCTCCACCACCGGGGGCCAGGACAGCCGCAAAGTCAAGGTCAACATCCGAGGTGAGGAAAGGGCAGTGGTGTGAGCAAGATGAACCGGGGTTGCTCCAGGAGTCTGAAGGCACAGTGTGGCAATGCCAAACCCCCTGCACTGGACATCATGTGCCGCAGTGCCAACAGACAGGTTTGGGAGGTGATAAAAGACTTCCTTAACAAAGCTGTAAGGAGCCAAGAGGTGGTGCATGTACCCATGTTCTGCTCACCTTTGCTCCCAGTCCCACCAGTGTCATTCCCTCCTTCCCCCCTAAGTGCCGCCAGCACCCCTGAGCCCCCCTCGGCTGTTGGCCAAGCAGAGCCGCCAGCTCGTGGTATCACCCATGGACTGCTTCTCTGGTGACGGACCAATCATTTCTATCAAGCTGCTCTACAAGCCCAAGGATGACACCTCAGCGTGGTCATCCATTGTTGGTATGTGTCTGCCAGGGGGTTGGGGGCACAGGTAACACCTGGGTGAGAGGGGACAGCTGCCCCAGCCAGTGAGGGTCTAGGTTGGGCAGAGGTCTCTGTGCTGGGACTCCTTTGGCGATGCTGAGGAGGATACTGGGTGGCAGACTGTGAGTCATGTGCACGGTTTTTACACGTTCTCTTGGCCAACAGTTGACAACAGCGAGAACATCACCCTCATGAACCTCCGTCCAGTGACCGCCTACATTGTCAAGGTGCAGCTGAGTCGACCCGGGGATGGTGGGGAGGGCAGCAAGGGGCCCGAGGCTGTCATGGTGACCGAGTGCCTTGGTGAGCTTCCTTCTCCCTCCCCCTGACCCTAACACCAACCCTGCATGGTGCAGAATCCGCAAAGCCCCAGGGCTGATGCGCCGTGAGGTTTTGCTACCTTATTGTTCACAGAGCCCACAGTCAAGCCTGTGATCGAAGGCTGGTCCATAGAGGAGAAAAACACACTTCATGTCAACTGGAAATTGCCGAGTAACCACGAGCCGGCGCACGGGTTCATCGTCCACCTCTTTGACTCCGCGAAGCGGCTGGTTTGTGAGAAAAACATCACGTCCATCTCTGTGCTCTCTGCCCGCATCGGGGACCTGGAGTTCAACAAAGAGTATGGGCTGGAGGTGCTGGTGTACCACTGCACCAGCCTGGGGCCTCCCTCTGACCTCTACAAGGTCATGATCAACAGCAAAGGTGGGTCGAGCAGAACACAGGGAATTACAATGATAAATTAGTTATAATTGTAACAGTGACCGTCCCCAGGGCTGGCAGCTCCAGTATCCCACCTCTGATAGAGCATGAACAGCTGCTTGGGGGAGAACAGGTCCTCCTTTTCCCACTAGACCCCCACCGCCTCCAGCACCAAGCAGCTGAGAAACACCCTAAGCTGAGTATGACGTTCAGGCCATCACAAGTAATGGTCACAAACAGATCTGTCCTCTGTAGCCTTACCCCAGCCCTGATGGACCTGTCTATACCTGCAGCCTTTACAACACCCTGTAGCAACAGATTGCTCGATACAATTATACTTCGCATGAATTGTTTTTTTCCCTTTCGTTTGCTTTAATCTTGCTGCCTGGTAATTTTGCTGGATGGTCACTAGAGCCTGGGGAGACCTGCAGTCCCTTCTGCGGGCAGATGCACACATGCACACAGACCCCTACATGGGTGGAAGACTATGGGCGGTGCAGCAATCCTATCTTTCTGGCAGCTAAGGGGGAAGGAGTACATGAGGCCTTTGATGAGGCTCGGCGCTAGCTGGTACATGTTGGGAGGGCTGGTGGGCATCAGGCGTGGAGGATGTGAGGCTTTCTCCACTCGGTGCTTGTAAGAGCTTTGTGAGATTTGGAATTAAGGATGTGGGCAGCCTGGAGAAGGCTCAGAGGAGGTGATGGGAACACCATGTGTGAGGAACGGCTGAGGAAAGAAAATATCCCAAGGGCTAGTCAATACACAGACATCTAGCTTGATGGTCCCCAAGTCAGGGAGCACTTGGGGTTACAGTCCTACCCCACTGTTGTACCTGGAGAGCAGCTCCACCTCCTCCTGCACCTCCTACAAGCAGGGGCCAGGGGTCCTTGGAGGTCCCTCAATCCTGGCACAGCTTTGGTTGCCATTGCCATCCATCAGGTTCAGTCCTCACAGCAGCATTGTGCCCCTGCAGCACCAGGAGCCCTGTTCTGGAACTGACACTGTCCTCTTCTTGTCCCAGGGCCCTCTTCTCCACGGTTGCTCTCAGCAGAGTCTATGTCTGACACCGTCATCAAGCTCTCCTGGCAGGTCCCCGAGTACCCCAATGGGGGCATTACCAAGTACATTGTGGAGCTGCAGCAGGTGGGGGGCACCAGCGAGCCCCAGTGGATCGACACCGACAGCGGCGCCGAGACCAACAAGATTGTTGGGGGCCTCAACGCCAGCACCACCTACCAGTTTCGTGTTCGTGCCAATTCCCATGTCCCAGGAGAATGGAGTCAACCTGTGAAAGCCAAGACCTTAGGGGACGGTGAGAGCTATGTCTCAGCAGGCACAGGGCTCATGGCTCTGCTGGAGCTTGGGCTCAATGTCTGAGTTATGAAAGAGTGACCAGGGTGCTCACGGTAACCTCAGAGAGTGGCTCTGAAGCAGCAGCCCAAGCCCAAAACACTTGTCTTCAGAAATGCTCTCCTCTTAGTCCTGGTAGGGCCGGAGTGGCATGGTGACAGCACAGCACCCACAGATTGGCTCTGCCTTGCCCAGAGGGTGAACACAGTACATGAGGGGCTAGAGAAGCAGGGCAGAGCCAACACGGGCAGAGCTGGTGGTTCACCACAGAGCTGGTTTGAGGTCCTGAAACCAGCAGGTTTGGTGGCAAAGCCCAGGCAGTGACATCCTCACCCCCATGCCACCGCAGCACCTGGACCTCAAGATGTGGTTGTGGTATCTTCATGGGGTCCTAGGGTGCAGGGAGAGGTCTGCCATCTTGGTGCTTTGCCACCTGTGCCACCTGGGCAGGGCTCATCCATGGACCATGACCTTCCACCTCTCCTTTTTGGCAGGAGCACTGAGCGTGCCACCCAGCCTGGGCAGTCAGAGCAACGAGCAGGCGGGAATAGACCAGCAGCTGCTCTTGGCCATCGTTGGCTCCGTGTCCGTCACGTGCCTCACTATCCTCTTTGCCCTCCTGGCGCTTTTCCTCATCAAGAAGAATTTTTTCCACCGGCGTCGCACCTTTACATACCAGTCTGGCTCGGTGAGTGCCACCTGCCCCTGCCCCGCCAGGACTGTGTCCCCAGCTCCCCTCGTCCCAGCCCGATCCAGGTCACGCTCCGTAGCCTCCAGCCCGGACGCAGCCAGACCTCACTTCCACGCAGAGAGGGTGCGGAGCTCACCCTTGCCTATGACACCTGCCCTGCCGGGACTGCCGCACGGGCAGAGGGGTGCCCGGTGCCTCTAACCTCACCTGCTCCCATCTGCCAGGGAGAAGAGACCATCCTGCAGTTCAACTCGGGGACCCTGACCCTGACCCGCCGGCCCAAGCCACAGCCTGAGCCCCTCAGCTACCCAATCCTGGAGTGGGAAGACATCAAGTTTGAGGACATGATCGGAGAGGGCAACTTTGGGCAGGTCATCAGGGCCATGATCAAGAAGGATGGCCTGAAAATGAATGCAGCCATCAAGATGCTGAAAGGTGAGTGCAGGGGGGAGGCGGACAACGTGGGATGGGGCATGCAGCTGCAACTTAGGCCATGCTCAGGGCTGAGAAGGGGCAGGAGCCACCAGCAGAGAAGCAGAGGAAGGGCCTGTGCAGTAGGACTGAGGTGTCCATCGCTCCTTTTCTTCCAGAGTTCGCTTCAGAGAATGATCATCGGGACTTTGCCGGGGAGCTGGAGGTGCTGTGCAAATTGGGCCATCACCCCAACATCATCAACTTGCTGGGTGCCTGTGAGAACAAGGGTGAGGGTTATCCCCCTCTCTCCTCTCCCCAGCTCCATGGCCCCTGCCCAGCTGTGTATTTCTCTTTGCTGGGGAGAGTTCCACAAGCCCAACCTCCTCTTGCCCTCCAGGCTACTTGTACATTGCCATTGAGTATGCTCCCTACGGAAACCTTCTTGACTTCCTCCGCAAAAGCCGAGTCCTGGAGACGGACCCAGCCTTTGCCAAGGAGCATGGCACTGCCTCCACCCTCACCTCCCAGCAGCTCCTCCAGTTTGCTTCAGATGTGGCCAAGGGGATGCAGTACCTCAGTGAGAAGCAGGTACATCCCCAGCAAGCCCCTCAGCATCCTTCCATGGGACCTGTGGACTCCCTAAGAGGGCATGAAACCCCTGGGGCCAGCAGGAGCCAATGTATGGCTATGGCTCCTGCTGACTGCTGGCCCCTTTCAGTTCATTCACAGGGACTTAGCAGCCAGGAATATCCTGGTAGGAGAAAATCTGGCCTCCAAGATTGCAGACTTCGGCCTCTCCAGAGGGGAGGAAGTATATGTGAAGAAGACAATGGTAAGGCAGGAGCAAAGCATCTCCACAGGGTCCGCACCAGTGCAGTGTGCAGGACCTCTGCCATCAGTGGGAACGACCCACCATGCCAAGGCTGGCTGGATCATGGCTGCCCTCCATCCATGGTGCATCTCCCTTCCCCTCACAGTCACTCTCTGTTTCCACAGGGCCGCTTGCCAGTTCGCTGGATGGCCATCGAGTCCCTGAACTACAGCGTGTACACTACCAAGAGCGATGTGTAAGTCCTGCACGAGGCGCTGGGATGGGAGCATGGCCTTGACCACCTCTGTCCCTCTCTGGGGTGGTCACTGCTGCAGAGCTTTTGCTCTGGGTGCTGCAAGGGCAGGCGGTGATGCTGATGCATCTCCCTGGGTAGCTGACAGCTTGGCCAAAGCCCTGGCTGCCTGCTTCACCCTGGGCTTTGCCCCATGCTCACCAGCGGGGCACAGCTGTGGTCTCTGTCACAGCCTCGGCTCCTGCCATTTCAGGTGGTCATTCGGTGTCCTGCTCTGGGAGATCGTCAGCTTAGGTAAGACTCTTTCTGTGTCTCTTGCCTCGACTCAGGTCCCTGCAGGTCTGGTCCTCCTGCAGCCCCTGAGGGCATGGCCCAGGGACCACCCCTGCTGCATCCAGCTGTGTGTTTCTGGCCGCAGGAGGGACGCCGTACTGTGGGATGACCTGCGCTGAGCTCTATGAGAAGCTGCCCCAGGGCTACCGCATGGAGAAGCCACGCAACTGTGATGACGAAGTGTAAGTGGGCAGAGAGCCCTGGCTCGTGGTGGCACCCACATCCCCCCACCCCACTGCCCCATGGGGTTCCCACCAACATGCAGTATCTCCTGCCTGGTTCCCCTCTGCACTGCAGCTGGGGGATGAGCCAGGGTCCCACACCCCCAGACACCCTCCCTGGGCTTTAGTTTCCCACCTGCTTCCCCCATCTCCCACAAAGAGCTGTTCTGCCCCTCTCCCTGTGCCTGCTGAGGCACCGCTGGCTCTCTGCCCCCAGGTACGAGCTGATGCGGCAGTGCTGGCGCGACCGCCCCTACGAGCGCCCGCCCTTTGCCCAGATCTCCATGCAGCTCATCCGTATGCTGGAGGCCAGGAAGGTGAGTGGCAACAGCCAACAGCTCGGGGGAAGGGGTGCCTGCCCTGCCCAGGGCTTGTCTGCATCCCGGAGCATCCCTCAGGCTTGGGGAGGGGAGATTCAGCAGCAGAACCTGTTTGACCCCACCACACATGGAGCCAACCTCAACATCACCTTTTGGGTGCAGGGACCCCCATCGCCTCCCCTCAGGGCATAGTGCCTGTGAGTGTGCCAGTGGGCATGGGAGGTAGCTGAGGACAGTCAGAACCAGCTCCTGACTGGTGTTCTCCCACAGGCCTACGTGAACATGGCTCTGTTCGAGAACTTCACCTATGCGGGGATCGATGCCACTGCTGAGGAGGCGTGAGGCTGTGCTGGCACCGTGCAGAGGGGCAACACTGGTCCCAGCCTGTTGGGACAGTGCTGTGGGGACAAGGGGCTGCTCATGCCCCTCTGGGGCTGAGTGGCCAAACACCAGTGCTCCTTCCTGAGAACACCTTCCCCGCAGCAGGACTGTGCCATCCCTTCCCTGGTTGCCCACTCAGCATGTGCTGGCCACATCAGTAAGCTGCCGGCTACCAACACGGCCCCATGCTGCTGAGGGACATGCTGGGATATCCCCCAAGGATGAGCAGCAACAGCACGGCATTTGCAGCAGAGTGGACAGGAGAGGGGCTCTCTCAGGAGCTAGAGAGCTGCAGCCTGAGCCCACGGACACAAATGCTCAAGCTTTGGGGCAAGAGAGGAAGCAGCAACCTGGCAGCTACCTGCCCTGAAGGTCCCACCATTCTCTGGGGCTGCAGTGGTGCAAGTGGGGCTGTGAGCATCACTGCTGGCGTGGGACAGGGCCACCTCAGCAGGTGCACAGCCTCTAGCTCTGTGGTTACCCTATGGAGGTGCCAGCTCTGCCCTACAGACAATAAATGTACTGCAACAGGCAGCTGGGTCCAGAGGAGGGGAGGCAGGGACCCAGCTCTGCCCTCCTGACAGCACTGGGGAACAGGGTGCAGGACCCTGACTGTCTGGTGCCGTGGTGGGCACTCCTCAGGATCCTGTCCTCGTTGAGCTCCTTTAGTGATCCCCAGGGATGCCCCAGTATACCCAGACAAGCCCCAGGTCTCATCATGCCATGGGGATGGGTTTTCTTAGTATCCAACTGGGATCTCCCCCTCTGCAACTTAAGACTTTGTCCTGTCCCCAAGGGATACAAACAGGCTATGTCCTTCCTCTGCATAGCCACCTCTTGTGTGCTCAAAACTGTTCCCACAGCTTCTCCCAGTTGGCCACTTTTCACAGGGACAGCCCTGCTGCTCCGGCCGGTCCCTGTGGGGCTGTGCAGCTCCGCACCCTTCCCACCCAGCACCGCGCTGAGCCATCGGGTAACATCCCGTGTCTTGCAGAGGGGACACTGTGTTTGACCAGCCCAGCCTGCTGCTAGGGTGATCCTTTCTCACGTGCTGGTCCCCCAAGGATCACCCGGGCCCTGTGCTGACACTGCCACAGGAGCTCCTGCCCTGGGCTGCTGTCCCTCATCCTGCACTGATGCCGTTTGTTGTATTGACAGTGGGTGGGCTTCATCTCTGTTGGCTTTGGCTTGCTAAGCCCTAGGCATGCCATCCAGCTGCCCATCTAGCTATCTTCTGCAGTCTGTGGGAAGCAAATGCTGCTCCTCTGGAGCCCAGTAGCTCATATGAAGGTAGAGGCATTTTCATCTGCCCTTCTGGGCAAGAGTCCTTTTTCCCCAGAAGATCTTTCAACCCTGTCAATACCATTGTGATTTCCCATTCTGGCCTCCAGTGCTCTTTGCATGTGTCAAATGCAGCTGTTAGTAAACAGCCTCTCTGCCCCATCACTGAGGTCCCCAGTGAAACAGTGATGGGGACTGGCCCTCATCCACAGCCTGACATGTGCCATTGACTCTGCACCTCCTCAGTTGCTGGCCAGGAATGGCATCTGAGGCACCATCATCAGTTCTGCTCAAACCAAGAGCTTTCTGCTTTTTGCCTCCCCAACAGCAAAGCCCACTAGCCGGAGAAGGAAGTGGGACTGGTCTGACAAAATTTGACTGTGACAAATTGATGCTGGCTGTTCCCATCTCCACTTGGTGCCCCTGATACTGTCCCCAGCTGCAGGACAAGGAGAAGCCAGCTAGTCCTTGGCATGGTGGGGACACGCATGTGAGTGGCTTCTCATGCCCTGGCTGTGCTCCCTGGGCTGTGCTGCAGTGCTGTCACCTGGCAAGTTTGGGACACCCCTCCGGCCACCTACGTCAAGCGGTGGTGGTGGTGGATTGGCACGAGGTTGAGAATGCCTGCAGGACCCCACCATGGTGGCCCCTCTTTGCACCAGCACCACTAGCACCTGCGTGGGCCCTGTCAATGCTCCCTGTGCCTGCAGCTCTCCTCCCAGCACAGCCACGGAGATGGTGCCGCTGGACCATGTGGAGCAGACCCAGTGCACTCCGGTGCCAGGCAGCACCGGGCGGGATGGAGCTGGAGCAGCCACCCCATGTTCCATGCTCCCTCATGCCTGCAGCCCCCACCAGCCTGCCCTG